TTTTGAAAAATTTAATTTGAACAAAGACAATTGTTGTCACATTTTACCTTCAAATGTGTGATCAAGTTAGAAGAAACGTTGTGTTTTGCACTGCAAACCGTTACTGGAGAATTATTCTCATCGACACCACAAGGAACACACATTGCACGTAAGGAATCACCATTTTTTTCCAATATCTTGAAGTAATTGTACTGAAAAAGTATTGGCTCCTTTGACTTTACTGAGCACTCCGAATCCAAACCGTTCTCTTCAATATTTGAGTTTTGAATGATAATTGTGTCTTCAAGCTGATTGGAATCCAAATCAAATTCAATGCCATCCGTTGTGTCCGAGTTTGTGTTCTCGGTTGTGCCTGTGTCGCAAAAAATGGTCGAAACATCACGTGAATATGGTTCAGCTGAGTGGCTAGGCACTTGAATCTGGTTCGGTAATTGCGCATATCTCTCTTTCTCGTCGGTATATTGTATTGCATTTTGTGTATTTCCGAGAACAGGCATTAATGGCTTCGTTTGTTTGTTTTTTATTATGCTTGTGTTTACATATCGTTTTTTTTTAACCGCATTGAATCTCGACAATAGTTTACCATTACATTTTCTGATTTTGTCTCGCTTTGAGTTTGATAAAAACTTTTTTGTGTTTACGAATTTTATTCTTTGTGGCAAACCATCAAAACCGAATTCGTAGTCACTAGCCTCGCAATCTAAAACTTCTTTCTTCTTCTTCAAAATATAAATATCGTTTGCATTCTTTATCGCCGACATTTTTATGTTTATTATTTATGGACAAGAATCGAATTTCAAGAATATTTAATACGTAAAATTGTATGGAGTGTTTATGTGTACCGGCGTACTGAGATTAACGGAGTTTCACATTTGTGTATTGTGTGGTTGAATTTCGCAATGCAAGATCTGTCTGATGTTTCGTGTGTATTGTCATCAGAGCGATAGGTGGCGCCAGTAGTTCTTGATCGGCGCAATGTAATTGAATTTTTCATTTCGCAATTGCAATTATGAAATGGTTTTGACGTCTTTTTAATTACAATTTCAAATGCAATGGAAATGGAATAAAGTTTCAAATATTTTTTTCAATTAAATAATGGTAATGATTGCAAAATGCAATTCATTTCGAAAATTCGCAGCTCTGGAAAAATGTGAATTTTAAATGTGGTTTTTTGGGCTTTACGCGAAAATGATAAAAGATAATGAGTTAGTGTGTTCTTGACCAATTCTATAACTTTGTCGAAGATAAAAAAATTCGTTTTCTCCCATCATTTTCACGTAAAGCCCAAAAAACCACATTTAAAATTCACATTTTTCATTTACGCTTCATTTGATGCGACGATTCATGTAACGCTTTTAAGAAACAAATTTCATGTTGCGCTTCAGTTAAAACACTTCTGTATTCCCATTTTTATCCTCACCGACACAATAACATGTCAAATTTATTGCTTCGAAATGTATCGAATTTCAACGGGAGTTTTAACCCGATTTAAATTGCCAGAATGCTGATTCTTCTGTGAAAGAAGAAAGAGAGAAAACGCATTGTAAAAATATAATAAACAAACTTGAGCACACAGCCTTTGTCTCTTGCCGTTTGAATTTTTTGGCTTGTTGAAGACACACACATACCACATTTCCCAATCGAAGGTATTTTGCAAACGAATTGAATTTTATGATGATATGTAAAAAACAGTGTTTGTGTTTACTCTCTCTTTCCATGCTGCGCATCGCAAAAAACTATTTCAGTGTGTGATATGAATGAATTTTGGCAAATACAGTTGCAGTGTGAATGGTTTTCGCGAAATACGGCATTACTTTGTGTGTGTTACTGACTGTATTTTTTATGTTCGAAACAACAGCATTTGATGCCGTCGCTTTCATTCTTATGCAGTTTCAAGTGGAGATTTCAGAACAAAAAATTCTCAATTCAGAAGGCGCAATCAACACACCAAATGAAACAAAAAATTTCGCGGCGGAATTAGCTGAAGAAAAGAAAATAAACGAGAAACTGACGAACGATCTAAAGAAAACAGTTGCATTTATTCGGGAATTCGGGGCCATAAGCCTGGCAAAAGATATCCAAATCGAAAATTTATCAAAAAAACTCGAATCGGCTTCGTTAGAAACCAAACCAGTCGGAAGAGATGAACAATTATTCAGTGAATTCTCTGAAAATTTCGACCCAGAACAACTGAAAGAGCTGAGATCAGTCAAATCTGGTCTGTCCAAAGATTCGACGTTTGTTTTAAAATGTATGCGTTTTCTTTACCCAAACCCAGCTGTTTTGAACAACGTTTCGCTTACCGGAAAACAGTGGAAAAAACAGAGAAAAGAAAAAATGTGTGTTAAAAATGTAAACATCGTCAAGGGAATTTTACACAAGCGAATTAGTTCTGCAGGAGTTGAAGCACCGGCTGTTTTACAGCGAATGCGTCGAATGAATAAGCTTGTACGCGATGCGATTACCAAAATATGTGCAAAACGTCACGAAATCTCCTCAGTTGCCAGCAACTCAACAGTACCCGAATCATTGAAAATGACTCCGCCGACAACACAGTGTACACTGCTAACAATTGTTATGAAAGAAATTGAAGTGCTAGAATCAGGTCGAATCCTGAGAATCCATGGATCAGCCGAAATTCTACCGGATTTGTATTCTACGCCGTCAAACCAGCCGGGTGTTAACACTCCCTTTGGGAGTGACACCACGGTCCGTTTTGCCGATTAACCCAGCCGTTTTCGAGATATTTCCATGTGTACATTTCCATGTGCCATAGAAGCCAATGCAATATCAGCGGCGCTCCGAGGTTTTCATACAAACTTCCCATGTAGACGGTCGCAATACAGCCGTAAATCGAAAAAAATGCGTCGCATTTCGAAGTGAAATACAATTTGGTTGGTAAAACAAAACGACACACCGCACATGTTATCAGAACAAAACGAAACACAAATAGTTTGCACACAATATTCTAGTGTTCCGTAATCAAATAACAACAAGATTTTATTTCACTTTGTTCTGCGAATGATTTGAGTTGCGCTTCGGTACGAAAGTGTATCATACGCCCTTTTTATTCTAACGCATTCATTTATCAAATGTTATTAGCTAGTTGTACTGATGGAAGAGCAAGGAAAAAAAGGTGACATACCGAATTAGATGTTGCGTTGTTTTCTTTGTTAATCACAGCCTCTTTGGTTTTCTGGTGAGTTTTGGTTGGCAATGTGTCTTCCACACCACCATTCAACTGAAAGAAAGGAAACAATGTTCGACACATGATGTGAGCCAATTGTACCGATGGAAGAGCAAGGAAAAAAGGTGACATACCGAATTAGATGTTGCTTTGCTGCTCTTGTTCCTCAAAACTCGTTCGGTTTTCTGGTGAGTTTTGGTTGGCAATGTGTCTTCCACACCACCAGTCAACTGAAAAAAAAAACAAATTTCAAGGTTAATAGATGATGTTAGTACAAAAATATTAGCGTGCTGATGGAAGAGCGCAAAAAACAGTTAAATACCGATTTAAGCTTTGCTTGGTTGCTTTTTTTTCTCAGAATACGTTTGTCCATCTTCGACTTTTATTTTCTTTTAACTTTTGAGTTGATTTTGAAAATCTCTTGTGAAAAATGAAACAAAAATTGAATATTTTTAACTTTTTAAATTGGTTAACTCTTCCAAATCATCTATCTCTATACAAAACTGACCAAAAATTGAATATCATGCATACACGATACATTGACAGTTCAACATGAAGTTGACTTCAGTGAGACTGTTGCCCGAAATATTTCCCTATTGAAGAAAAAGTACAAAGATCTCTATCTATCTCTACAAAAGTACTAGAAGACATTGTCGTCGATTGCATTTGTATTGACGGTGAAAATCACATTCGATGCGACAGCATTTGAATCAAAACCGAATGACAATCGAGCATTTTGGCGTAACTGATCCAAACCATCGTTGTTGCTGAATGTAGCTGGAGCACCGAGAGTTCCCTTCACTGGTGTTGATTGGACGATGCCAGCAGCAAAATCAACGGATGAATCGCCTAGGTTCATTGAACCTACATTGACACAGAGCGATGACAAGTCTGCACCAACTTCGTTAGTGTTACGCTTCGGAATGGCGCCAGTGGCTTTAATGAAGTAAAAAGGAAATAAAGCATCACTTAAGTGTTAAATATACTAAATTATAACCATAATCATAAATAATAAACCAAAAATGCCAAGCAATCAGCAAAAAAACTAACCATTTTCAGAATGAATGACCGCACCGTCATCATTTTTTCGATCGTCGCCCGAATTTTCTTCCTTTTTCAACCAAACGGTGTCAACGTAAATGACCGACGACGATTCGTGTTCATGAGCGTTGTTTGGTTCTTCGTTTGCCTCTTCGTTCACTAATTCAAAAACCAAAATATGAAACTTTTTTATACGAACAAACTATAGTTACACGAATAACAGAAGTTATTGCATCATTCGCACAAATCTCGAGAAAACAGCTATCTTGTACGTAATATGTCAATAAAATGTATAAAACGAACTATAGAAAATTAACTTGTGACGATAAATTACCATTTTCAGTTTCCTGGCCCAAATTTTCTTCAAATAAAACTCCATCCAAATTCTCGCCACCGTCTTCGTCTTCGTTTCCACGAACGTATTCGATACGCGTATTATTTTCATCATTAAGCATCAAAATTGCTTTATTACGGAGAAAACGATACGATGCCATTTTTCTTAGTAGCCTTTGATTTTACGTTAAGTTTTTCTGCACGAACGACCGATCACTTGGGAGTCCAAATTGGAAAGAATGTTTTTGTGATTCACTTGTCGATTCTTATGGTCAATATTGGCCGCAAGTGCGTCTGTAGTGTATTTCACACGCACACCAGTTGAATGCACAGCCATAGCGAAGCGAGATCAAATGTAACCGCAGAAACTCCGCAGAAAGAGGAAAGAGGATGAATAATGTACATTGTATATTGTCGTATTCATTTTTTCTCCTCTTTGTTCGGAGTTTCGGCGAGATACACATGATCTCGCTTCGCTATGGATATGTATATTGTTGGTTTGCGTGTGATTTACACTACATATACACTTTTACATGCATTGACCACGAAAAGGGGCAATCGAATCGCGAGACACTTCTTTCGAACATAGTGCGTATATTGTCTTATTCATTATTTCTCTCCTTTGTTCGGTTTCGAAGTTTTGTCAGTGTGTGTGTGTAATTCGCTACTGATGCCAATACGAAACAAATATTCACACTTGGAACAAAGGCTACTTTGTGAAAATAAAAAAAATTTCTTTGCAGTCAAAACATTTATATTTACAAAAGAGCCCTTGCTCTTGGTGTGATTATATTTCGTAAGAATCTGAGGCTTATGAGAACATTGTCGTCTCTGAGACAGGTCCATAGCAATGATCTGGCAATGTATGTGTTTGAGTTGCGAAAATGAAAGTGTTCGTTCTCATTGTAATTAACGACATAAACAAGCACATAAACATCTGAGGAGATTACATTGGGCCAAGCGTGCTATAACGAATTTCTTTTACTTTTTGACGCTCAAGCAAACAGTTGTATGTGCGAAACTCGTGAATCATGTCTGGTAAATAAATATTGCTCAAAAATAATAGAAAAAAAATATATAAACAAAACATTTTTTCGGTGTAGTGAAACATGAGAACCTTTTAGCATTACATAAACTTATCAAAGAAATCGTTCATTTTTTCACTAGCAAATATCGATGAGCAAAACATTTCAGACCATGAGTCATCGTCGGTCATTTATGTCGATACAATCCAACTGAATAGCAGTGACATTGAATCTGTTCGGCGTGAGAGAGGTATTTTTTAAATGATTAAAGTACCTTAATTTAACGTGTTAACCAAACACTTTAATTTCATATGAGTCGTTCTATACAGTTCGTTGAAAAAATAAGACATTTGTTTTACTAAGATTCGTGCTAATGTTGCATTGAACTGTGAGATTTTGTAATTCTATTTTGTTGCTCTAATGCAAATTATATTTTGTTGTTTTTAAACTAGAAAACAAAGAGGCAAATAACAGCAAGCACGAATCTTCATCGGTCATTTTTGTTGACGAATTTTCGATTCCAAAGGAAGAAAAGTCGATTGATTCCGCACTCGATGGCGGTGTAGCCATTGAATTTGAAAAAAGTACGTTTTTTCTTGCTGTGCTTGTTACCAACAGCGTATAGCACTGCACACTTTTTGTTGAAAAATAGCGAAATTTGCCGTAGAGAGCGCGCTTTCTTATGGATATTCCAATGGGGAACTGTTGGCGCCCTCTTGATGGTTTTTTTGATAACTAGTAGTGTTAGACGCTGTTGCTTGTTACATTCCGAATTTATGACTTTTGATTGAATGTTTTTTGGATCGATGGTGGATTTTTCGCCGTATTTTTGTTAACAGAAAATCAAGAAGGTGATGGACATCCAACGAAAAGTTCTGTGTCAATCGATGATAGCGAAAAATCAAGAACAAGCCATGGTGAATCATATTTTGCCGATGAATCTTCGGCGATGTCATCCGGATCGTGGTCGATTTCATCACTGCCGTCTCACACTGAGGATCTCATACGACTTTATGCGGGTGTTGGATCAATGGAATTAGGTGGCCGTGTGGGAGCCAATACAAATTTTGATGCTGATCATGAATAATAAAAAGAAATTCATACACGAACTGCTCAATCGAAAACAAAAAAAGGTTTTTTTGGATGTGAAGTGAATTTTTAATCAAAATTTAATAAAGAGACATCTGATATGTATTCGATATTGTTGCATTTTAAATACAGCATATTTTTTTTAATGTCACTGCATGGGAAAACTGAACTTATATTTAAACTTGAAACCTCGCTGAGGTGGTAATGTGTGCACGTAATTTCGTAAAAATTGAAAAATACGAAACAAATTTCATTTATTTAAAAAAAAAATTCTGCTGTTCCAAAAGAGCCATTCTTCATTTCGATGAAAAAATCTGCTGATTTTATTTCCGGTGCTAGTATACTTGTATACGTTGTGTCATTGAACTTGAGTCGTTGGCCAATGTACATTTGCTCAGATTCGGATAAGGCTATGCCGTGCTGTATTAAAACAGATTTATAACGGTCAGTTAATTTAATCAATTTAACTTGCGATATGTTTCCATGAGATGAGGTTGTGACTTTGTCAACAATTCTGTGGCTTTCGATTAGCATTTTTGAAGCGGTGTACTTTTCGGCAATTTGTAGAAGCACATCAGTGGTACCGGACACAAGTTTTTTAATTGAGCCGATGTTGGATTCAAACCCGAATAAAAAATTGCAATAAACTGGGCCACAATTACGAATCATTTCGCCATAGTGGCGTAATAAATGTGTGTTCATGGTGATGGATCCTCTGCCATAAATTTCTTCAAAAAGATCAGCAAATTCGTTCAACATCGATGTCGCTTTGTCCAATTCTGAATTAGTAATGGATGATTTGAGTAGCATAAATATTGCTGCTGATAGAAGTTCCATGTGTTTGACTACTTTCGTTGGAAGTAATCCAAAGACGGCAAATCTAAAGTAGAACAAAAGAAAATTAAATAGCTCGGTTGCTTTGTAATTCGGAAGCTCGAAAATTGTACGCGGTTTTCGTTTGAAATTCATGAGCGGCTTCAACTGAATTATTCTTTGGTTCAGACACTTTCTTTCATATTCATTTTTCAATTTAATTTTCAGGTTATTCTTCGGATCAGGTACTTTTTTAATTCCCATCCAGATTTGTAGCACATCTTTCACTATTCCGAGTCCGATTCCATGCATTAAATCAATTGCAAAGTTATTCACAACGTCGAATGAATTGAATAATAGCATACTGGACAAGCCTTTGACCCCATTTATCGAATCTCCGGTACTTTCGTCCGTTTCTATGCGGTGTCCATCGCGTACAGTTTCGTCGTGTGTTCGTAATTTCGGTTGACTTTCACCGGTTTTGACATATCTGATTGTCGTTCTTTCTTTCAGATTTTTTATCGCTTCCCCCGGATGATGACAAAATGCACATGCGTTTTTTCCAACTGGTACTTTGAAGTTCTGCAACATGGCCTTTGCAGGCAAATCACAACTAGCTGTAACAAGTGCTGGCAAAAAATTTATGAATTGTTTCCCATCGAAAATCGATATTTCACTGTCTTCGAGTTCTGCGGCCAACAATGAAATTAAATCAAATGGATTTGGTTTCTTTGAACCAAAATAAAGTGTGACTACCAGAATATTTTCAGTACGGAATCGGATTTCTGGCGGAAGAAATTGTAAATAAAGCTGCGTCAACCATAGGGAATTTTTGCTCGAACGAAAAATACATGCACCATCAATATTTAGAGTTAAAGCCAATATTGTGGCATTCGGATGTTCAGCTGCAATTTTTTTGAATGCTTCACTATCATCGATGTCACTTATAGCACCCTCACATTTTTCTCGTTCCAAATAGTTCACTATTTGACCAAAATTAGTAGATAAAATTTGCTTAATCTGAGGAATCACTGGAATTGAAACTATAAAGTTGTTTTTCTTTGAATTTTTTTTTGCGGTTAGATTACATTTTTCGCATTGTTCTCCGTTTTTCACCAAATTCTCACAATCACAAATGACATAATATTCATAATCAACAAGAGTCTCTGAAAT